CAACTCACTCTTCAAACCTTCGCCAAAATATCACCTCTTCAATGAAAATTTCTCTGAATATTTCTTAGTAGAGTTCATTTTCTTATTTTTAAAACATTTTGCTTTTACCTTATTATAGTGTATCTTAGTGTATATCATTATTCATAGACTTGTTATTCATTTATGGGCTTCCTTATTTGTCTACCAATTTTTTGAGAGCCTACATCTTATTTTTTTCCTTTTCTCCAGTCCATTTAGCCTACCACTTTGCAAAAAAAAAAAAAAAAAGTTTATTGAGCATTTTCTAGGCATTATCTCATTTAATTCTCACAAAAACCATATGAGCAATTAATATGATTGCCGCACATTTTATAGATCCTGAAACAGAGACTTGCAGAAGTGCTTAAGTTCACATTCTTAGTAGAGGCCGATCTAGGACATGAATCCTGTGTTATCTACCTCCAAAGACTGAGCTTTTAATCATGGGATTATAAAGACTCCCTGTCTTAGGAGCAGCACTAGATGACCAAGACATTTCCCCATATAGTAGATATTCTCAATATATGTTTAGATGTTTCTTGAATGACTGAAAATGAAAGTATTAAGAAGCAGGTGATAAACATGAGGGCATTAGTTAAATGAAGCCTGGAAACTGACAAAGAGAATCACTGAACAGTGAGTTGTAGAATTTTAAAAACAAAGTTTACCTATTTTGATAGGTTTTTCTAGGACTGCTTTTGTTGGTTGTGACTACTGAATGTACAAGTTCATTTCTCATTGCCATCAATAATTCTTATCAAACAAAGGTTTTTTAAGTAACATTATCCTAGCAAAACTTCCGAAGTGTACTCAAGGTATCATAAGAGAACTCACACACACATACACATACACAACTTCCCATCTGACTTTATTTTTGCAGTATCATATTCCATTACATCTCTAGAAGCACTTCCCTGGTGTCAGGGCTATGACCACCTGTAGTCTAAAAGGAGCATCACTTCCCCTTCTCTTAATCAGCATGTTCTTGCTGTCTGCTGATTAGTCCAGAATAACCAGTGGTCTGGCTCAGTCATCAGACGATTTCAGGATTGTGGGGAACGTATGAAGTGGCTTTTCATTTCGTTCGGGGTAAAAGCCAAAGGCCTTACAATGGTCCAAAGGCCTTTCATGATCTTCCCCCGCTCTCTTGCTTTTCTGACCTCATAGAATACTCTTCCCCTCAGCTCACTACTCTCAGGCCACACTGGCTAACTCTTCACCTCTTCAAGTCTCTGCTCAAAGGTCACTTCTCAATGAGGGCAACCCCTCTCCAACTGCCAGCATTCCTAATACCTCTTAGAGTGTTCTTTTTTTTTAAATAGTATTCTTCCCTTCCTCACATACCCAATTATTTATTTACTTATTATGAGAAGTATTTGTTACATACCCAATTATTGATTTAATTATTATGATAAGTATTTGTTACCTCTGTCTCCTCCTAGAAGGTAAGCTCCACAAGGGAAAGATCTTTGCTGTTGGTTCACTGATATATCTCAAGTACTTAGAACATGCCTGGAATATAGCAGGCACTCAAATAATATTTGTATATTTAAGTGGATGAAATGATAATGAACTCCTATGAATCAATAGGCAAAAGACAGACAACCCAAATTAAAAAAAAGGGGGGGAGGGGGAGGCTTGAATAGGTATTTTATAAAACAGAATATCCAAATGGCCAGTACACATTGGAAAAGATGCTCAAAGCCTTCAATGATCAGGGAAATGCCAATTAAAACCACAGTGAGAGAGATATCATTAAATACTCACCAGAGTGACAAAAAAGTAGTTGGAAATACCAAGTGTTACAGAGGTGAGAAGAAGTGGGAACTCTCTTAATAGCGCAAATGGTACATCCTTTTTGGAAAACATTTGCCATTATCTAGAAAACTGGAATATATGCATACCTTCTAGGCATACCATCTATTCCTAGGAACACATCCTGAAGAAACACTTGCATATGTATAACATAATACATGAATTTTACCCCAGCATTGCTCATAAGAGCCAGAAACTGGTAACAATCCAAATGTCCATTAGCAGTTAAATGGATAACTAGATTGTGGTATGTTCATCCAATGGAATACTATATAGCAATAAAAATAAACAAGTTGTTGTAGATATAATATTGATGAATCTCTCAAACAGAAACAAATGAAAAAGATCACAAAATAATTCTTAGAGAAAAATTTTATTCATATAAAATTCAAAAATAGGCAAAACTAAACATTAATTGATTAGGAATGCACACATAGGTGGTAAAATTATAAATAAAAGTAAGGAAATCATTATTCCCGCACTTCTAGGCAGAGAGGGTTGGGACAGTGAAGGGATACATGGGATGGGGTTCTTCAGGTGCTAGAAATGTACTATTTTCTCCTTCGGTTGAGGTTACATAGATGTTTACTTTGTAACTATTCTTTAATCTGTAAATAAATCTCTAATGTTCTCTGTTTAATATCTCACAGTTCTTAAATTACAATAACTTGCCTTATCTTCTTGTATTTTTCTTTCATTTGAAAGAATTTAGTGTTCTGGTACTGTGGTAAACAGTCTTGACAGAACATATCCCTTTTTTGATCCAAGTCTTTTCCATTAGATACGAATGTAATATAATCAATTCCACAGTAATTAGATTGCAAAATTTGCAGGATATATTTCAGAGGTAGGTAATGAAAAAAAGAGGCAACATAAGATCCACTGAAGGCTTAGTTTTCAGTGCAGGCCCAGTGTTTGACACAGAGTAGGTGCTCGGTAGGAGTTTGCTGCTGCCAAATGTAGGCAGCAGCAGCTGCTGCTGGGGCTGACTCAGACAGGGAGCGGTTCTCCACCTTTTGCCTTAGGAGGAGTTATTTACTGTAGGCCACCTGGTAGAAAAGATGCAGGGTGTTGAGAGACTTAGAGGTTCCAAGATGTTTTTCAGCCAGAGACATTTTCACACATTGCTAATTTTATTTTTGGATGCTTCCCTCTGAACCTGTTTCTTCAATCAGTTCACAGAGCACTGGTATTTCTGGCCATGGTTTTGGATGGAGCAAAGAGACCATGCATCATCTTGTTTTATCTTCTTGCTAGTACTCAATACAATATGGAATCATACTTTAGAACAACTTAGTTATTTTTCAGCAAATATTAATAGCAGACTCTGTGTCTGAGTCTCTTCTCAGGTTAAGGCTTCAGGGCAGCATAAAGCCAAGGGTGATTATGAAGAATCATTTCGTAAACCAGCAAGCAGATACACACAGAGTATAGAAAAGCTTCTTGAGCCAAGGATGTGGCCTGTTTGGGGCATGCCCAGAAGAGTGGTGTGTCCTGCCAAACAATGGTGACCACACTCCCCCACATGAAACAACTCGGCTGTGTCCTGCTCTCTCTTATGTTCATTCAAAGTGGATTTAGCTACTTCTCTGTAGCCATCAGAAGTTGCCAAGGATGATGCTGATGCTGATGTGAAAAACACTGGGGCTTACTGAGGACATCTGTATCTCTTCTGCTCACAAGGTCACATGGGCTAAGAAGGGAAAAATCTGGTTCAGTAACAAAAACAGCCAAGTGGCCACATTGAACCACATCATCT